CCGTCGGCCGCCCGGGGGGGGGGGGGGGGGGGGGGGGGGGCTGCGGTGGGGCGCTCCGGGACGGCCTTGAGCCGCGCTCGGCCCCGGGGCTGGCTGGGCCGAGGGGATCGGGGCACGCTCCTACCGCCCTGCCCGGCCTCCCCACGGCCAGACCCACACGGCTGGCGGCCCCGTAGCGTCTAGGGGAGCCCCGGGCACCGCGGGCTCGGTTTGGGTTGGAGGTGCCGTGGCCGTGATGTGGATTTGCGGTTTTTCTTTCAGGTGGGGTTTCAGCACAGCGTCGGCCTGCCAACCCGCGGGCAGCTCGGACGGGGACAGAGAGGCTCGGCGGTGGGGCTGCTGCCTCGGGCTGCCCTGAGCGCGCACGGCTCGCTGAGCAGAGCAGCGGACAGAAGGCTCCGTTGGTGGTGAGTGGACACAGCGCGGCCGAGGAGCGGTGTTAGCGAGTCTCCCTGCCCGGTGCTGCCTCCGGGCTGATGGAGCAGCCAGAGGGGACGAGGTCAGCTCTCTCCCTTCGGGTGCGGTGTTTCTTGGAGGTGGCAGCTGGCCGTGAGCCAGCACTGTGTGCCCTCGCAGCCTTGAAGCCAGCTGGATCCTTGGCCGCATCCAAAGCAGCGTGGGCAGCGGGTGAGGGAGGGGATCTGCCCTGCGCTGTGAGGCCTCACCTGGAGCACTGCGTCCGGATGTGGAGTGCTCAGTACAGGAGAGACACGGACCTGCTGGAGTGAGAGCAGAGGAGTGCTACAGAAAGGTTCTTGGCGATGGAGCAGCTCCCTATGACTGAGGACAGGCTGAGAGCTGGGGCTGTGCAGCCTGCAGAAGAGAAGGCTCCAGGGAGAGCTGAGAACGGCCTTTCGGTACCTATAGGGGCTGTAAGAAACAAGAGGATGGACTTGTTAGCAGGGTCTGTGTGATAGGATAAGGGGAAATGGCTTCAAACTAAAAGAGGGGAGTCTTAGACTTGATGTAAGGAAGTTCATTACAATATAGGTGATGAAGCACTGGCTGCCCAGAGGGGTGGTGGATGTCCCATCCTTCAGATACCCAATGTCAGGGGTCAGGGCTCTGAGCCCTCAGTGCAGCTGTGGGTGTCCCTGCTCAGTGCAGGAAGTGAGACCAAATGGTCTTTAAAGGTCCCTTCCGACTCAAACCATTCTGTGATTCATCAGGTTTGGCAGCAGGGCTCCGTGCTGCTTGGCGCCTGTGAGTGAACTGCAGGCTCAGGGGTAGCTGAACTCATCCAGTAGCAGCAATCCTCCAGTTCTGTCTCTGGGGCCACTCAAAATAGGAAACAATTTCAGAAAGTCAGGCAATAGTTGGCCACCTGGATGCATGGGGATTCTGTCTTTCAGCTTTTGCCCCCAGTCTGGGGGAGCTGGATGTGGTGCAGGCTCCTGTGGCTGCTTGGGCCAAAGGAGAGGTCAGTTCAATGGAGGAACTCCAGGTCTGGTAGCAGAAACACCAACCTGAGCTGTGCAGGGGAAACCCCAAGTGCAGAGCTCTGGTTCCTGTCACCCAGCTGAGGACAAGGAGGAAGAACCCGGAGCTAATTCCCTTCCTTCCCTCAGGAGCACTCCTGGGGGGTTTTATTTCTCATGTTCCCATCGCTTCGTTCCCTTGGCAGAGCAAGTTTTCCAGGAGTGTGAAAGAGAGCAGAGCCAGCTGCGAGGCCGTGCCTGCTGTGCTGGGAAAAGGAGGAATGCTGCTGGTGACTCCCTGGAGCAACACCCAGTGTGGCTTCCGAGCCACAGCCACCTGTGAACATCCCTTTGTTCCCTATCAGAGCCACATTGCTCACACAGAGGGACTGGGATGAGGGAGCTGACTTGCTCCACTTCCTGAGGAAACGTGGGTGAAGGGAGGGGGGAAATCCTCACTGCAGAGCTCTTGTTGTGCAGCTGGTGGGGCTCATGCTGCTGCTCTGCTCCTTCTGTCTGCTGTCAGCCCGCAGTGTTGGTGTGCTGGTCAGTGCTGCCCTGGAAGCAGAGCCTTGTCTGCAGAACAGATCAGCTAGGGACGGTGCTGAGTGTTTTTGCCTTCTGAATTGGTGTTTTTTTGTTGCCAGGAGTTACTGCTATGGTTGGAAGGGTGCAGTGCAGCGTGGCCGCATAAATGCTACGCGAGGGTCAGCTGCTGGGTTTGCTGTGTGTGATCCTAAGAGTAAGAAGCATTTTGGAAGGAGGCTCCTCCTGGGAAGGTATTTCAGAGCTCCCCTCGCAGCTGGAGAGAAGCCTTACTCTGACTTCCAGCCTAAATATAGCAGTCTGGTTCCCCTCAGCCTCCAGCACGTGTCAGGGAACACTTAAATATGTCAGAATTGAGAGTTCCCTTGGAATCGCTTGCATCAGCCTCTGAAAACTGAAAAAATTAAAGCTGTCTTGTCATGAAAACAGCCCCGCCGGGTGCAGGTGGTAACTAATTAACCTGAATGCTGGCCGTCTGACCTGCATTTGTTGCTTCAGTGTTTGCAGGAGTCATTAGTCATGCTGCGATGGCACTTCTTGTTATGTTTAGAGTGGATAATTCAGGTCTTACGTGAGCCTCTGCTCCAGTGAGTGCAGCAAGCTCTGTGGAGTGAGGTCCTGCTGACCTTCCAGGCTTTGTGGCAGCCAGGTTGTGGATCCTGCTTACAAGCCATGTGTGTCTCTTCTCTCGAGGGACTCGGGTTGCACTGTGCTGCGAGTGCAGGATCCGTTCTGGGGATGCTTTGTGCTCCTTCCTGCAGTCAAGTTCTCTGAGCGTAAAACAGCTGTCTCCTTTTTATTCCCCCTTTGCAGTTTGGCACCTTGGAGGAGAAAGGATGGCTCAGGAGACGAACCAAACCCAGGTGCCTCTGCTGTGCACCACCGGCTGCGGGTTCTATGGCAGCCCACGCACCAACGGGATGTGCTCTGTTTGCTACAAGGAATTCCTGCAGAGGCAGCAGAGCAGTGACCGGATCAGCCCTCCAGGTAGAGCATTTTTGTCCAAGAAATCTGTGTTAAATGAGTGCCTCTGACTGGCTTGGAGCACGGTGCTGGTGTTGGTCAGATTCAATCCCTGCAGGAAATCTTTGTTCCCTGCAAGAGGGTCTGTTGTTTTCCTCCCAGTGGCAGCTGTTTGTGAAGCACCTTCCAGTAAACTGTGACATGCCACTTGCACTTGTGTCTTCCTCAGCGGCACAAACTCGTAGCTGTCATCTGCTCCCTGAGCTGTGTGACTGCTAGAAATCATGTCGGATCCCTCCAAATAAATCACTTCTGGGGAAGACTTTGGACTTGAGTTTGCACAGTTTTCTCTGTGGGGTTGACAAGCAAAAGCAACGAAGTAAAAAAGTTTGTTTTGTAATGAACTCAGCCCACCTGTCGCTGTGTGGGGAGCAGCCAAGCGTGCAGAAGGGGTGCTTTTTCCATCCTAACATTTCTGAGGCTTCACCAAGGTCGTGCTCTTGTCTCTCAGCAGCCAGCAGTCCCAGCAGCAGCCCTGTGGCATCAGACTCCATGGCAGGGCAGCGGGCAGAGGAGGACTCCACACCTGAGGATGCGAAAGCCAGGTGAGGGCTTGGTCTGTGGGTGTACCTGCAGCTGTGCTGCAGACCAGCCTTAGGACACAAGGGACAGGCTTTCATCCTTTGTGTGGCCAAGGGGATCTGTAAAACAGGCTGGGTCAGACACAGTTTACTGTGATCCTGGTTTAACTGGGAGATTGAGGTGTCCCTGATGGTAATGAGTGATTGAGGGGCAAGTGCCAAGAGGTTGGTAGTGAACTAAAACCCTGTAGGAAACTGGTTCTGTTACAGCTGGTGCATCTGCTCTGTCCATAGCTGTGTTCACTTGCTCCATTTTGACTCAGCTGTAAGAGAAAGCATCTGGTGGTGATCCAGTCTAGAAGCTGCAAGAGCTGCCTTTAGGGATCTCACTTAGAGGAGCACACTGCTTATCTTTCCCATCACTTTACAGCCATGACTCATAACTGTTCCCCTGGTCCTGGACTTGTTTAGATGGGCTGTTGGCTTTGGGATGTAACTGGGTAGGAAAGGAAACTGAGGTCATCACACATTCATTCTGTTGGTGTCTGTAAAGAACTTTGATCCCAGCTCCCAGGGGGTCCAGGCCTGCTGTAGTCCTGAGCTCCATCCGAGAGTAACAGAACTATCGATGGGCTGAAGATCTCTCCCTTGTAACTGTTCCTCAGAGTGCAGTATTGATGTTTGCTCTTTGCTTTGTTTATCTGTCACGCATGCTCACAGTGCTCAGACTCCTGTGACCCACCAGATGACAGCCATGAGCATATCCAGAGAGGAAGGCAGCAGTGAGACAGAAGGGCTCGCCAAGACAGAAGAGGCCACCCCAGCATCTTCCTCATCAGGTAGACTGGTTGGTTTGGCTTTTGCACGAGGTGAGATGAGATGACACCCATCTAGGAAGTTGGTTTGAGCAGCAAGCACGATGGTGAAAGAGACTTGAAAGAGCCTGCCCTGTTTTCTGTTAGTGGGATGACAGGAGGTTCAGGGCTGGATCCACAAAGCCAGGTTTCAGCACGCTGCAGGTGTGTATCTTCCAGCAGCTGCAGCTCTCCCTCCTGTTGTCTCCAGCTGAGGTGCTGTAGGAAATCAGTGACCTTCAGTCTGGCTTTCAGAGCTCAGTTTTCCTTTCGGTAGATTAGAGACAGTGATGAGTATCTGTGCAGAGCATTCTGAGACCTACATATGAGGAACACTTACATAAGAGTCAACAACAACAATTACTTGCATTACTTGCAAGGGGTTAATTTTTGATGTGTTTTTTTTTATTCCAGGCTCAGATGTTTACATCAACTAAGCTGACTGTCCCTGTGCATTCTTAACCTATGGCAAGCACCAGATAATTCTACTTAGCATTAACTTTCCTCAGCAGGAGAGAGCCATGCCTTCTGATGCCTTAGCTGAACTTTGGTGTCTTGCTGGTGTTTCTGAGCTGCGGACTGGGGGAATTGACATGGGGAGAAAACATGAAGCTGTGTGAGGTGTAGGTCTCAGTGGAAGCAGACAAGCCTCAGTTTGGGGTCTGATGTCTGCAGGCTGCTAACTGGGGTTAGGGCAGCGTGCATGCAGAGGTGTTGTCTGGCACAGACCCACAATCGAGCAGCTGGAGGAGTAAAATGATGCGTCTCTGAGTTGATCAAAGTAACAGAACTCTGGCCTTTGGTTCAGGTGCCCTCCTTGAAACATCACAGAGTGCAGCTGAGGACAAAACTTCTCCGGAGAAACCGAAACAGAAGAAGAATCGCTGCTTCACGTGCCGGAAGAAGATTGGGCTGACTGGTGAGACCCTGAGCGGGGGGAAGCCTGTGTGCTGCAGCCCCAGCAGTCTGCAGGCAGCTCGCCTCGTGCTGCCCTGCTGCCTGAGCTCAGAGCGTTGCCGTGGCTCAGAGGGCAGGGGGCACCCCTCCAAAAAGTGCTTTGGGTCTGCGAGTCGTGCAGATGGGAAGGGGATTGACTGCAGCTCTCCGTGCCAGCCCTTGAATTCAGGGTTGCAGAAGTGCGTGGAGCGGTGCCTCTCGGGTTATTTCTGCTCCTTGGCAGAAGCTGTTTGCAGAAATACAGCTGGTGGTCACTGTAGATCCAATTGTGCTCCTACTGGAGGCAGCAGTAAAGCCTTGCTACTGCTGACGTGAAGTGAGTTAGACCCAAACTGAAGTCCCACTCCAAGATTCATCCTTTGTTTGTTAGGGCTGCTTGACTTGTGCCATTAGCTTTCTGAAAGCAGGGAGCTCTCGGGCAGTGCTCCTTGTTGAGTCTTGAGAGCGAGAGGTGCTGTGATGGGAGCAGGGATCACTGGCAGAACAGTGGAAAGGAAATTTGTGAAGCAGCAACCTTGGCCAGGGTTTGTTAATATGAAAACATCGTTCCTCTAAATTAACTCTTTGCATCTAGCTATCCATGGTGCTCTGCAGGTCACCCTGTCCTAGCAGCATGCTCTGCTTTTCTGCCTCCATGGATGCACACTGCTTTGGCAGGATCAGCCCCAGGTTTGCTTAGCACTCTGCTGCCTGAGCTGCCTTGGAGATTTTGGGGCACTCCCATAGAATAAGTGCAGGTTTATAAGGCTGGAATTGTGGGCAAGGAAGGGAGCTCTGCACCCAGCCTTCACACCCGAAGGGAGGATTATTTTCCAGTAGGAATCCGCTTGCAGAAAATTCCTGTGAATTCAGAGCATGTAGGATAAAATGGGCTTTTCCCAAATAGGTGTGATTCCTCACAGCGTTGTGTTTGTGGTCTTCACAGCCCCTGGTTGCTATGGAGAGGAGTTCATTGCCACTGCAGTGGGGAGCTGAGCTGCTGTCCTGCAGCACAACCCTCCCCTTCTCCGTGCCTCAGTTTCCCAGCGTTGACAGAAACATTTCTGAGCAGTGCTGTCTCTCTGACTCAATTATGAACTTTTAAGGCCTAAATAACTTCAAAGGAGGTGAAGGAAGGTTTTGTTTGCTGGCTTGCTGCCCGTCAGCCCAGATGCTGCTGCTGTGCTGCCCCAGCTCCGGCTGCAGCCTGGGTTAAGGATCTGGGTGCACAGCTCCCTGCTCTGAGCTCTTCCTGCATTAGTGGAGTTCGGTGGTGTGGCAGGAGAGGGCTCTGCTGCCGTCCTGTTGCTGGATGGGGACGGCCGTGGCTTAATCTCTGCTCTCCTTCCCTGTAGGCTTCGACTGTCGCTGTGGGAATCTGTTCTGTGCCATTCACCGATACTCAGACATGCACGCCTGCCCCTATGACTACAAGGCAGAAGCTGCTGAGAAGATCCGGAAGGAAAACCCCGTCGTTATAGCTGAGAAGATCCAGAAGCTGTGAACGGGGCTGAGCAGCTCGAACTCCAGCCTGGTAGCCTGGTGCTCCTCCCCGTCCTCCCAGCCTTCCCCCCTCCTCCCAGCCCCGTCAGTGGATATGGGGATCCAGCAGCACACGCAAACCAGCACCCGGACCGGGATATTCCTTGCACCTCCTTGACAGAAGCATGGTGTTCTTCCTCTCCCTACAATCCTTCAGGGCTCAGCAGATCCATTTCTGTCCAGCTTTCACGAGGACACTGGCCCGACTCTGCCTCACCCACTGCAGCACTGAGACCACGGCATTTCTCCTCCCCAGCCAAGCCACCCCTTCGTCCCACGGCTCCAGGTCCTGCAGACTGCCTGGGACTCATGGCTGGAGCTCCTGAGCTGCCTCCAGACTCCCCTCCCTCCACCCCACCCCCTCCTCCTGATGGCTGCAGAGTGGGGAGCCAAGGAGTCCCAGCGACGATCCCGTTCCCCACAAGGTGTTTGGTCTCAGATGCAGCAAAGAGGATTCTGTAGTTTTAATGCTCCCAACCCCACACCCCTTTTCCCTTTGAGAAGCTGTTGTTGAAGCAACTGCATCGTTAAGCTGCAGAGTATGGCACAGTAAAGTTATTTTGTGGCTTGCCGTGACACAGACACACTCCGGCCACAGGTCAGGACCTGGAAGCAAACACTGCTCTGGGGTGGGTGGAAAGTCACAGGGAGGGTCCTGGGGGCAGGGGGGCAGGGGTGCACACACAGGCTTTGAGCTCTTTCAAGGAGCATCGTGGGAGGGAACAGGGACACGCAGGAGGCTCTGGGGCACGTGGGAGCAAACGCTGGGGCTCTGGGGAATGGACAGGCAATGGGGCTTTGCTCCCGTGGAAGATGGGGTCAGCGTTGCTTTGTTCTGGCCATCAGCAGCACCGAAGTCCCAGCTCATCCCAGGGGACAACAGCAGCCACACGGCTCTATTGCAGTGTGGGTCACCCCGTGGTTACGCCTCAGTTTCCCCACCCCCAGCAGCGACGGCTGCAACGCAAAGAAACCCCGCGGTGAAAATCGTGCAGATTGGGGGGCTGCTGCAGCACAAGGATGGAACCCCAGCGTGAGTTTCCTCGCCCCGGCAGCACGCTGCAGCAAAAGCCGGAGGAAAGCAACCGTGCAACGCTGGGAAGCTGCCAGCCCTGCGGGGGGGAACGCTGCGGGCCGGCTGCGTGCAGTGCAGTGCAGTGCAATGTAATGTAATGCCGTGCAATGCAATGCAATGCAGCACAGCCAGCACCGCAGCTGCTGCAGCGCCACAAAAGCGCGCGCGGCGTTGTCCCGGCAACGGGGTGGGCGGGGCGTGGGCGTCACTTCCGGGCGCGGCGGCGGTGGGCGGGGCTTGCGGGGGCCGCCATGCAACGCCAGCGCCGCCCCCGCCTCGGCGGCCCGCAACGGCCGGGAGTCCCGTAGGAGCTCCGAGCGGGGCGAGGCGGGGGGGGGGCCGGGGTCGGGCCGAGGAGAGCATCTGGCAT